CAAGGAAGGGAGGCGTACTTTACAAAATGCTGCCTCTGTGGAGTTTTGATTGCAATGGCTCTAGCCATCCTGCGAGCCCAGGGGGAGGGGTATAAGGTTTCCAGCTAGCAGTGCTGGATGTTCAGGGCACACAGTTGATGCTCACAGGAAGAGGAGGAGCAGGGACCTTTGGCAGCTGCAGAGACAATCCTTCAGGAGGAGCTGGCATGGGGGCTTCATCTTTGGGTGAGGCTGAGAACATTCCTGGTTGTCTGCTTTCTCCTTCAATAATAATTTGCAGGAGGGAACTGGAGAATGCCCAGGAGCAGACAGGTTCATGTTGAATCTTGGCAAGTGGAACTTGAGTGGAAGCCTTGTTTTCAGAGCCGCCATGCATGGACAGAGTGAGAGGGGCTACAGGAAGCGTGGCATACGGTCTTTCAGGGGTCATGGTGGAGAAGCCTACTTGGCTACTGGGGCTTGGAGGAAAGGAGGGGCCAGTAATGGTATATCCCTTGATGGGAGTACCATAATCGCCACAGATCCAGTGGCTCCAACAGTTTATATTCATTTCTTCACAGTTCGGGAGGTTAGAGGTTCAAGATTAAGGTTTCAGCAGGTTTGGTTCTTTTCAGGTTTCTTTCCTTGGCCTGTGCATGGCTTTCTTCCTGCATCTCCCTTGTCTTTCCTCTGTGCCTAAACCTCCACTTCTAAAAAGGACACTAGTCAGATTGGATTACAGGATTACGGCCTCACTCTAATGACATCATTTAATCTTAATCACCTCTTTAAAGGCCCTCTCTCCAAGCACAGTAAATTTCTAAGCTATCAGAGGTTAGGATTTCAATGTATCAGTTTTGGAGGAGGACACAAAAATGTAGCCTATGACCACACAAGACAAAACCCAGGCAAAGGGTCCCAGAAGAGGCGGAGGTGGTGGAGCATCCAGGAGCAGGGTGGAGACAGCTAGAAGGGTGAGTCGTGCTGATATAAACAGGGAGGCGCTGGCTGAATAGCAGATGGATGGGTAGATCAGCCTGGTCTACTAGACAGGCATGCTGGGCACCTGCCCACAACAGCCTCTTACACACTAGGACCCTCAGACCTTCCTGCCCACAGGGCCTGCTCCTGCCAGTAGAAGAGGTGCTTCCACATTTGGATCCACTCCTCACCAAGTAACTGCACAAAGCCTTCATACTTAAGGGTCACTGTGCAGATGGGGTTTAACATCCCCTTCTCAACTCTCACCCTCCCCAACAGTATAATATGTTTAGACAAGAGAAGAGCTCATCTGATTGGTTTCTCTTGGCAACAGCATGCATCTCACTGGCCTACTGCAGGGCAGTAGGGCTCCTGGGGTGAAAGGCGACCTCTTCCCAATCTTAGTGCTCTGTGCTCCTGCTGCAGTCCAGTGTCTCCTTCAGGAAGGCCATGGGGCTCTCTCTCTGCAGAGCTTTCTTTCTCCCAGTCCGAAGGAAGTTGCCGAAGGTCTTTTTCACAGCAAGGTAATACAGGCTGGGCTGTCTCAGCCTCATCACTCCTTGAGGCCTTGAGTTTGGCCATATGCGTGTCTGACTCCTTCTTCCCAGAAGACCCTGTAGCCACATCGTCATCGTTTATTACCTCTGGACCCCTGAGTCTGGCTATGAGAGAGCCATTTGTGCAGGACAAAATTAATGGCTTTGTTTGGGAGTCTCAGATGAGAGATAGAGGGGGCGACATCATGGAACTTGATTTGGGGAGAGAGTTTGATGTATCATCTCATAAAATCTTGCTCACCAAATTAATTCAATAGTCAGGTGGCCTGGACACTGGCCAGTGACCCCAGCAAAAGCAAGAGATGGGAGATAGTGGTCTGGAGACTGCCATGGGGCACAGAGGCAAGATGGCTCTTAATTAAATGCTTGTCTGATGAGCAGAACAACCAGCTCATCAATAACTGCTGACAGCTGAAGGCAGGTGAGGCACCAACTGGAAGGAAAATTGGGCCAGTGAATTCCAAATGGGTCTGCAAAGCCCTGTGACTCAGCTTCTGCATTTATCCTGCATCCTGAAAACACATAAATGTCCAAGAAGGCCGGATGGCCAGGGATGAGCCTGCTGATTCTGTGGGGTGCATATTTGCCTTAGTTCTTGTTTTTCCTGGGTGTGTTCCTAAGGCTGTGTGCTTCTGTTGTGTGTCTCTGACAGGGTATTGTATACAGCTGCACAGGTTGCACCCAGTGGGCTCCTCTCTGAACATGTGCAGCAATGTCCCTGTATGTGTGTGTGTGTGTGTGTGTGTGTGTACAGAGGGCCAAGTGTGTGTGTACTGACCACTCCACTTGGACTCCAAGAGCTCCTTCATGTGGGGTTTGGTGAGAGGAGGAAGGGGGAGACAGGCAGCAGATGAAGCCACCCCCTGGAAATACCTCCCTTTTACTGGGTATCCTGTCCCCACTCTCCTTTAACTTGTAATAAGGAGGAGATGATGCTATTTCTTATTCTTTATTTGCCCAGAATGCTTGTTATTTTTTTTTTCTTTCAGAATCAAATTTTCTCTTGACATTTCTGCCTAATGTAGCAAAGTATGACCTTTGGGAGAGGACACGGCTGGCAGCCTTGTCTCTGCTTGGGGCTTCCTGCTGCTCCTCCCTGCTCTGGGTTTTCTGGACAGCTCCTGTCAGAGCCCTCCCATTGCTTACCAGGGGCTGTGCCCCAGCACCCTTTACACCTGGGGCTTTGGGTGGTGGAAACTCTGCAGGTTGCTGCTATTCAGATTCAGACTAGGGATTTTGCTCAAGGAAGCCCAAGGCAGAGGTCACTTTCTTTCCCAAGTTCTGAGGATTCCTTTGTGGCTATGGAAATATGGGGCTTGTCTGAGGATGTGGGTATACATAAACAGCAAATCAGAAATAACAGAGAAAACACTTGCTATCTGGATGCTTTAAATCTCAGATTGATTAACATGTCATAAAGGCTGATGACAACAAAGATTTAGAGAGTGGTACTGAAATCTGTTGTCCTCAATCCAAATTCTAGGCTGGTAGTCCAGTAGCTAGGGAGGAGAGGTGACAGGCAGACATGTGCTGGCCCTCTGTGCCACCCCTCAAAGTAGGAGAAAGGTCACTGTAGAGTTTGGCTAGTGATATCTTTTATTTGTCATCAGTACAGTGCTGCTGCGACCCTTCCATCCGATCACTGGGGACAGTGAAGCTTGCAGGGATAGAACATGTGGTCACTACAGGTTCTGGGAGGCAGAGCATTATGGGTTACTTAGGTTTATAGTTTTAGTGAGCGCATGCTGTCACACCGGGGTGCTCGGCTCTGCAAAGAAGAGGTGAATGAGTGTATGGAACCATCACAGGCTAGCCAGAATTTAGCTAATCCACTCTGATTCACAGGTTGCTCTTTATCTATTCTTGTTATGCGCTAAGTATATACTCTTCCTAGGTGAACTTCAATTCTGTCTATTCAGCGGGCTTCCTTTATAGCCTCAGTGTGATCTTTCAGGAATCTTTCTTATCTCATTAGGTGGCTTGACCACTTACCTGGTCTCTTGGTTTTCTCAGCTTCTCCAAGATCTTGTCCAGTTCTGTGGGCCTCATTTCCAACACTTACCTTGAATCGATCCACTTAGTTGTTTACCCCCCCCCCCACCCTTCCTTTGGAACACTGTAGCAGTCACTTTATTGGGCTGCCAACTTCTGACACCATTCTCCCAGTTAAAAGCAGTCATTAGATTGTGTCACCCTCCCATCAAAAATCACCCAGTGCCTTCCCATCACTCTTCAAAATAAAATCCACTCTTCTTGCAGCAGTACAAATCCATGGATGCGACACAAATCCCTCTCCCACTTATCCCAAAGCACTGCCCTGACTCCCTTCCTACTTGATCTCCTTTTTGGTTCAGATTCCTCCCGGGCCTTTGCACTTGCTACTTTCACTGCCCATACTTCTTCCTGGCACTCAACTTCTCCAGTCTGTCCTGGGTCTCACGTTGCCTTTTAGAAGGCACTTTTCTCAGAACCTCTCTGAAGTCACCTCCTCTCGCTCCCCCATCAGTTACTATGTCTGTGTATGCTCTTCTTTCTGCTTATTCACTTGTAACCTGAATATAAGGCTCCATAGGGACCTTGTCCTCCCCCTCCATGGTCCACCCTCTCACTCCTTAGTGCAGCCTACATTTCAGTCTCAATTCATATCTTCTATAGAAGCCATCTAAATATAGGTGCATGTGTAAGCATATGCATGAGCATAAACAAGAGTCTGTGTTTGCATTTATTACCTCCCTGTTAAATAGACACAAGCACATGCATGCTCATGTGTGTGGACAGACGTTTACCTAAATGGTATCAGCCTGCTTGCCACCCATTCCATCAGCAGATGAGAACATTGCTCCTGGGGTGCCACTTCTGCCAGTGTCTGCTGCTTTTAAGGGCTGTTATTCCATCAAAAGTTGTTAGTTGAGGCTGGCAAAGTAATAACTATAGTGTGTTTCTTCTTTTATTTGGAAACTAATGGCTGTTCCTTTCCCCTGTACATCCCAATGAGAACAATTAAGTAGCTGTTAGGAGGAGAACAGATGTGTGAATTAAAGGTTGACGTCTCCATCTCACGGATGGGCATGTTTGCTGGGCAGGGATGGCTAGAAGAAGCTGGGTGGCCTCCAGTTCTTCCCAGTGCAATATTAAGCATGTGTGGATTTTAAGGTACGCTCAGAAGTCTCTGTCCTTCTAGAGAAGGATGGCTTCAGAAGGCTCCCTGGACTTTAGTCCTGAGGAGAGATCATGGGAGAATCACCAGGAGGACTTTATTGCTTCCTTGACTTTTAAGACTGCCCTGCAAAGCCTTTAGACTCCTCTCCAAGCCTGATCTGTAGCCTCAACTATCTGAAGTTGCACAGTTGGCAGAATAAAGTGAAGAAAAAGAAAAAGAAGAAAGACAAAGCCAGGCTCCAAGTAAAATGACCAAGCTCTTGAGGGAGAGCACTGCGGTTGGCTGACCTGTCTTTAACTCCTCTTTCTTTGTCAATCTTGCAGAAACTTATCGAGTAACCGACTCACCACGCTCTCATGGCAGCTCTTCCAGACGCTGAGTCTTCGGGAATTGTAAGTGTGGATTTGATGACTGTGCAGGTGGTGAAGTGGTGGTAAGGGCTGGGTGGGGAGAAATTTTGAACCCTGGTGCTACCTGAAGGCTGAGTGTGCACTGAGGGGCTGCTTGTTTTGGATGAGCTCAAGTGTACCATGTCCAGTGAGAGTCATCCACTGATGCTCTTTCTGTGAACACTGTATGTCAAAGACAGAATTTCATCTCTTATCGGGGCTTCATTTTGTGATTTGCAGGTAATTAGAAGCAATAGTATTAATATTTATAATAAAGAGTATGTATCAGTTTAAAATAAATGCTATTATGTTATATAACTGTAGATTAAGAGGTATGCTTTCATTAGATTTATCACCGTCAGAGTAATGGGAGATACTTTGCATTTCATGGATGAGAACGCTGAGGCCCAGAAAGGCATTCAAAACTCAACCACGATTGCATTGTTAAGGACTTGAGGAATCAGGACTTGAGTCCACGCCTTATGGCTTCAGATTGTGTCTTTTTCACCACTCACAACCTCCTGTGAGCCATTTCTGCTTGAGTGTGGGCATCCTGGGAGCTGGTGGGAGGGGAGATACATTGATTTAATCTGCATGGGAACTGCTTAGCCTTGCTGTATTCCAAGGCTGATGAATGCACCCTTACCCTGGCCAGCCGTTTTGTGCAAACAAACGTCTAGATGAATGAGAATTCGTGACCACTGCTGGAAAAAAATAACTCATGTTGATGTATGAGTCATCTGGTCATTTCTGTGCATGAAGGACAGCGTATTATGTTGAGGAAATAAATCAAGGAATAAATTGAAAAGGAATTGAGGCATGGATGAAGTGAGGGACTCAGGGTTTCAGAGATGCCGCACATGTGTTCTTTTTTACTTGGTGACTCAGATCCAGATTCACTGAATGCAGATTGCTTTATTGTTGTCTTTACCAAGAAGCAATGACCTTGGACCTCTTCCTAGGCTATCGGCCTTTCAAAGAGTTCTTCCTTCACCTAGAAAGACTGTAGCCATGATCTTTTTGTTTGGACCAGCTGGTAGGAAGGAGAGTATTTATATCCAGTGTCCCTATAGGTTTTTATCCCATGACAACTTTGTATACTGTCTTTATCCTCAAGGGTCTAAGTGCCCATAGTATGCATCAGAAGACCACCTTAGGGATAAGATGGACAGAGCATGTCTCTTTTAAAGTGTTGGGATTTTAGGACAATACTGCTGTGGGTTGATTTCCGTTCTTTGGCTTGATTATACCCCTCCTACCAGGCTACTATTCTGGTATGGGTACCACAGGCATTGCCATTAAAGTTTTTAGTCACTTATGGCTGAGATCCAGGTGGACACCAATAATAACTTCTACCTAAGCTGGAAAAAAGGTCAACATACATGTTTGTTTACAAAACTCCCCAAATAGATTACGTTATAGACATTAAGTGTCAGACTGTTATACTTTCTGTGTTGCATCCATCCACATCTTTGTAGATGGAAATGATCTTAGAGGTAAATTAGTGTGAGCACCGTGATTATTACTCACACTGATTTCTGAGCTCTTCCTCTGTGCCAGGCAGTGTTCCAGGTAATCTATTAAATTATGCATGTGATTTAATTTAAGTCTTATGACAATTCTGTAAGGTAGGAATTATTACTGTCAATTCACCTTCAAGGACACCAAAATGTTTAGCAAGGTTAAGTATCTTTAAGGACAGTCATAAAATGGCAGTTCATAGATTGAAAACTTTGAACACTATGTTCAACTGTCTCCCAAGTGTTTTTAATATTTCTCTAATGCAAGGATCTATTCTACAATAATGTTCCAAAAATGCATAGCTGGTTTTGTCCTAAATTATTGTGGAACCAGTTGGCAGCCCTGGAGACCTCTCTTTCTTGGCAATATTATATCTCTTTCTCCTGGGATTCTGCCCCTTCATCTAGGGAGTCCAGGGATGGTGTCCTTTCAGGGGCTATCTGGGGTCTGCTGTTAGCTGAATTATTGAGAAAATGTTCAGTGTTATTTCTAAGAAATCGTTGGATGTGAAATCAATGGTGTGCTGCCCTTGTGACCTGTTTTGTAGAGATTTAGAAACAGTTGTTCCATGGATGTATATTTAAAGAAAATGTCAGATTTCTCCCAGAGGATCATGGGGATTCTGTATTCAACTTTTCCTTGGATCAATACTCTGGTGAGCTAGAGGTAACTTATGGAAGAATGAGGACATTCCTGCCAGTGTGAGTCAGTGCCCGAGTGCCATCGAGTCTGCCGAGTATTTTATTTCTGTCATACTGTTAAATAAGAAATTATATTGGAGAGTAAGGAAGCCACTCCCCCCCACAAGGAGCAGTTGCCCTGTAGGAGTCTTTTTTATGAAGGAAGGATTGAGTGCTGAGAGTGGAAAATTTATCTTCTGGCTGGAGGGGCTGTGCATTGGCTTTTAGCTGTGGCTATGATTAAAACCCAAACAATCCCAGTTCCTGGCAAATGGAAGAGGGGATAGTATTTTCTCCTCTGACTCTTGATTAGTCCACATGGCACCATCTGCCCTGAACCATCTACATTGACAGGGTCTACCCGATGGAGCCTGTTGGCTGGGGTATGTGGGGATGGGTTGGGTATTTTCAAGGAAGAAAGAATTTGGACCTTGGAGGGGAAAGGGTTCAGCGTGCAGTGGCAGCCAGAAAATTCACAAGCCAGAGTATGAGATTTCTAGTGAACATCTCCAAGGACAGAAAGACAAAGAGAGCATTTATTACTTTCTTAGTATATTTCCTTCTGTCATTGAGGATCTCTGCCATACCTTCTAACCACCTCTGCCTACTAGGCAATACATCCTCGATATTAGAATTAATGCTGATGAGACTCCCCATTAGAAGGGCTCAGTGTCCACTACACTTCCAGTAGGATGGGAAAAGAAGAGGTACATTTTGAGTACCTAATGTGTACAAGGACCTATCTCATCCTTGGAACAGTATCACAGGGAAACATTCTAACCAGTTTTACAAATGAAGTATTTTAGTCATGGCTAAGTTAAACAATTAACCATAATCACATGACTGGTAAATGGTAAATCTGGGGATTAGCATTGTGATGTTTGGCATTATCATCACTCAAGTCTACTGTTTCCAATGACCATGCTCTTTCAACCTAGTAATGCATCCTACAATACTCTGCCTTTCCTTCAAGAAGCCACTTTCAAGGTGTCAGCTCTCCTTAATGAGATCACAGGATTAAAAATAATAAGTTAGCTATCTTAGTGCCTTGCCATATGTCAGGAGCCATTCTTTCCTTTCTGTCAACTACTTTTGTGAGAGAAGGGGTATCTTGGCAGATACTTGTTCACAGCCTCCCATCAGTCCAGGTAGTATTCCTCTCACTGAGTGGAATGTTGTTCAAGACTTGCTCTGGAGTAGCTAGCAATATTTCCATGGCACACATTTGAAGGAATTTGGCTTGAAATTGTGTAATAAGCTCATAAATTTCTGCTCATGGGAAGATTTTCAATTTACCTTGACAAGAAGACTGCAACTCTCTGTCTAAAAATCAGAGCTAGAGTTGGAGAGATAAAGAACAAATCAGGAAGAAAGGAAGCTTGGATTTCGCATCCGACGATGCCATTTTTCAATGTCAGAGGCACCAGAGGATCGTATCCCATAGTTTAGAAACCCTCTGGAAATACCCTAAGGACCATCAATGTGTCTCAAACAGTGTTCTGTTAATATCATGCATGCACAGAATAGACATGATTAAAATAGATTGGAATATTTCATTTTCTTAAAGCAAAGTGATAATTACCTCTGATATAATTCACAGATTTAATCAACTTGGGAAAATATTAACTCCATCTCAGATGGGTTCAGACTGACCCTGGCACTTTGCTTGTCTGAGTCTTGGCCGTGACCACTTTGAAAGCTCTTAGAGAAATCACTAAACAATCATATTAATAGCAATATTAGTATAATAATAATAATAATAATAATAACAATAATAATTTCTGGCCTTTTTAAGGCCTTCTTTTAACTCATAAAGCATGTTAACGTATATTATAGCTAATTCTCTCAGTCGCTTTGTGGAGATGGAATGTTAAACACAATCATCCCCATTTTATGGAACTTTGGAGAATTAAGTTACTTGTAGTTTCCTGGGGCTCCCTTAACAAAGTATCACAAAATTTGGTGTCTAAACACAACAGAAAATCTTTCCCTGTTCTGGAACCAAAAATCTAAAATAGGGTGTCAGCATGGATGTCTTCCTTTGAAGAATTGTTCCTCACCTTTCCCAGCTTCTGGTGTATGATATTCTTTGGTTTGGGAAAGTTTCCCTGTTGTCTCTGTCTCAGTCTTACATCCCTGTCTTTCATCCTTTTCTCTGTTCTCTTATGAGGACCCAAGTCATTGAGCTTAGGGGTCACTCAGAATCCAGAATGACCACATCCTTTGATCTTTACCTTGATTCTTTCCAAAGAAGGTCACATTCACATGAACTGGGGTGAGGACTCAGATATGTATCTTTTTGGAAGACACAATTTCACCTATTATATTTGCTCTTGATGACACAGTTGACTCAACTCAGATCTTTAGTATATCTACTTTTTCTACACCTGATTACTGTCCCCAGGAGGCCTGGGTTGTGTCCTTTACTCTGTGACAGCAGTACTGGCTTTGTTGATTTGGGTCCTCTTTCCACTTTCTACCCCTGGGCCTCAGGGTTGCCACTGGCAGTGCCGATGCTGTGAATGGGAGGAGAAAACCGTCCAAGCGCTGACTGCAGGGAAATCAATGTTTTCTAAACACCCAACCATGGCTTGGCTGTACTGCAAAGTGTTTGCATGCCCAGGCCCTGCAGGCTGGGGCTGAGTTAATCTGCGGGAAGCCCCAGGGTCCTGCGATTAGGCCCTGGGCCAGTTTGGGGCAAGGGCTTGGTGTTGGTTAGCTTTGTCCTGAATCAGTTGCTGCTGTATTATTTATGGGGCTTCCTGCATTATTAAAGGAGCACAGAGAGCCAGGATTTAGGTCTTGCAAGACAGTCCTGCAGCCCTTGACTGAAGGCTCCTCTGCCTGGGCCCTGATTTAATGGAGAAGGGCTCCAGAATAGATAGCATCATTTAGACCTGGGAGTTGTCTGTGTCTCCTTCTTGCCCACCTCATTGTGCAGACCCTCTCTTGTCTGGATATAAAGATGACTGTGGACTGACTGAGTGGAATGACCAGGATGCTACTGTTTTAAGGCTCACAAATGCATTCTGCAAGGCATGTGATTTATTCTGCAAGGAGACAGTGCAGAAGAGTTGAAAAGTCTTCAAGATACTTCTGCAATTTCCAGGACATTCTGGGTTGCAGCAAATGACCAGATCTCAAGGTGCATGCCTTTGCTGGACTGAGCTCTGGAGGAAAAGGACAGAAGGAAACGTGCCTGGCAGCATCTTTGGCACATGTTAAGCATCTCACCTAATTCTCCTGCTAGCCTCAGGACAAAGGTGATGTCTGCCTTTGAAGACCTGCTGACACGCTGGGATACACTCAGTGCTCAGCCCTGAGGCTCCAGCACGAGGCAGGATTGCCATGAATTGTGCAGCCCTGCTGCCAAACCCCTCACTTGTCTAGTCTTTTCAACCCAGGTGGATAATTTGTATTTTTACACCTGCTTAATAATGAATGGCCACATCTTGTCAAGTGAGCAGTTGGGAAAAAACAGGCTGACCTGGTTCAGTTTGCACATATTCAAGCATCTGGACCCTCAGTGCCGTCCAGCAAGGCTTCCAGCCCTGTTCTCACAGTTGCTACAGCAAGATCCAAGCACTCCACCCCCACAGGCCTTCCATTCCCACATGCTGAGCGGTGAACTTGACTTTCTGCTTTCTTAAGGAAGCCTTCAGAGGTCCCCTTCCCTCTTGTGTTTCCTCCTTGTGAGGCCTCAATGAAGCAACACATGTAAGACATTTGGCACAATGGCAAGGTAGTCCAGGTATAGTTATCCTGTTATTTCCCTGTGACTTTCTTCTTCCTGTCCCAGTTCTCAGCCATACAGATTTCTTGCTTAACCTGGAATCAAACACCTCCATGGCTTTGTGGCTCATCTTTCCCTGTCCTCCTCTCCCTCCCACACTGCTCCATTCACCTTCCCTGTAGGTTTCACCTCCTGCTCTTCTCTGACTCTTTCCTGCTCTTTCGCTCAAAGGCGATTCTCTCGGCCATTGCTTTCCTGTCCTGTGAGTTTAGGAACTCATCTTCCACGTTTCTTTGTCTTCTTTTCCATTGTCTAGTGTTTCTTTTTGTTTTGGCCCCAATAAAATGCCGAACATACCTCGTGCTCCCCTGTGATATTTCTCGGCTCTTCCTCTTCCCTTTCTCTAATTCTCACCGCCCTTCTCTAGGGCCTTGTTTAGTGGGCAGCAGTTCTCAGTGGTCCAGGGTCACTTGGGGGTGCTCAAAAACCCTTCCAGGGACAACGTACAGGACAATCTGTTTTTGTGACAACACTCAGACATTATTTGCCTCTTTTACACTCAGAGGGTACTGTGGAGTTTTCTAGAGACACATGGCTTGTGATGACCTTATGGTCCTGGTGACTTGCAGAATTTCTGCTAGTGTATGTTAGTATTTCACATTTTTCTCAGTTCTAATTTCTAATATGGTAAATACTGAAAAATATAAATCATAAAAAGAGCTTTTTGAGTTCTTCAGAAATTATAAAGACGAAGGATTTATATCTCAAAATTTTGAGAATAGTGGCCTAGACTCTACCAGTCTATATAAAACCTATGTGTGAGTTAGAGAAGATGCCCCTCTGGGTGGTGGATATCTAGTGCCAGGACACTGGATCTGGATTTCATTTGCTATTTATTGCTTTGGCTGAATTCTTTGGAAAAAACAATGTATGAACTGCACAATTATACACGGTGGCCTTGCGCTGATGAGGCAGCCTACCTGGTTTCCTTATCTCTAGTTCTCCTTCTAGGCGGTTTGTCCTGTACACTACTGTTGGTTTGCTTTTCTTTGCACAGCTACTATATTCATATCAGTCTCCAGCTTATTCAAAGGACGTCGACAGCTTCCCACTGCCTCCTCGATGAATTGCAGACGTCCTGAAGTGGCAGTGAAAGTCCTGGGCCTTGTGGCTAGCATCCACCCTCCAGCTTTGTTTCCTGGCTCCCCATGGCACAGACTCTCTGTTGAAGCTAAACCTTGCTTCTCTGTCTCACACTCAGCTTTTGCCACTTCTCTCCATCTCTTCCCTCCAGTCTCTGCCTATGTGAACCTCCAAAATCCAGGGTCCAGTCTCAGTCCTATTTGCATTTCTGTTGTACTTGCGACACTTTTGGTAGGACAGACAGATGGACAGTGTGTGGGTGCTGGAGTCCAAGAGACCGGGGTTTGAAACGATTTTGATACACAGCAGCCAAGGGGCCTTGAATGTGATTCTCTCATCCGCATGGGGAATACATGGCTCCTGGGACTGTCTTGGGAAGCAGATGCTCAGTAAAGACCAGTTCCCATCTCTCCTTTTTTCTTAAAGGGCTAACACATAGAGAAGTTTTGGGAACTTTTAGGCTAAGAGGATGATATTATATAATATCATTCTACCTAAGATGTCCTTGGGCCTAAAACACACTGATTCCTCTTCTCAGGCCCCTCACATTTTCCTGAAAGCTGATTAGTGCTAATGCATGCTTAACTATTTTTGGAATTTGCCAGTTGTCAAAAATATCCAGGGTCTTAGTGCAGTGACCCAAGTGTTCTCCCTTTTGGTACCAACCAATCGATACCCTTAACAGTCCAGGGAGAGAATCATGTTTCCCTTAATGATCCAGGCATTCAGATTTACTAGATACTTTTTACCTTAAGAGTTTTTGGATTGATTAATGCTGTTCACTGTTTTCCTAATAACCTCATCAAGAAGGGACGTGACTTTAAGTCATAAGGAAAATCCATGGAGAAGAAGGGCTTTGAACTTAATTCTCCCCTCTTCAGACATTGATCTTCACCAGGCTGAAGGCTCCTGGAGGACATGGGGTGTCTTATTTGTCTTTAGATTAACAGCCCTCAGAGCATTGGCAGATAGAGAACAGGTGCTTACTGAGGACCCACTGAAATCCCAAAGGAACAAGGGTGGTCCCCAAATGGATTTGAATATGTCTTGGAAATAGTCTGCCACCTGCTTCCCGATGGAGAGACTCCCTCTCTCACTTTCACTTGTTTTCTTTCTTTCATTCAATAAGAATTTAGGAGCCAGGCTCAGTTTCAGGACTGGGAATACAGCAATGAAGAAAGTAGGGTATGACTATGACTTTAGCACAGCTGACTTTTTATTTCGGGAGTCAAATGAACAAACTGAATATTTAAAGGAACGCTGAGGGATGACAAGTCTAGAAAGAAGAATATAGCAGAATGAGGGCTGGGCCTTGCCAGGACAAGAGTAGATAGTGGCTTTTGTATAGAGGGTGCTCAGAGGAGGCCCTGTGATTCCACAGTGAAAGGAGAGGAGTGGGCCTTGCAGGTACATTGGGTGAGAGCTTGGAAATCCAAAGGGACCCTTAGTACAAAGATCTTCAGGCAAGCATGAATTTACAATCGTGTTTGTAAGTTCAGAGGCAGGAAGACGGCTAAAGAGGGCCAACAGAGTGAAGGAGGTAAGGTCAGAGGGCTGTGAAGATGGTGCAGGTTATGTAGGACTTTAGCTTTGACTTGTGACAAAATGGGAAGCTGCCCAAAGGTTTGGTGAGCAGGAGCTTTCCAATCTGTCCTCTGTGCCATTAAGTGAGATGGGTTTATGTTTTAAAAATGAGTTTACTCATCATATTAAAAGTAACCAAGTTCACTGTTATCTAATTTTTGCCTTCTTCATGACCTTTCTCAACCTCTCTTTCCTTCATCCCTGTGGAGAAGTGGGGGTCCATGGATCTCACAGTGCTGGGAGGGAGCTGGGCCATCTTCGGTTCAGGGGTTCCTCCCCCTCTCTTCTTGCCCACAGGAGACTGGAGCAGAACTTCTTCAACTGCAGCTGTGATATCCGCTGGATGCAGCTGTGGCAGGAGCAGGGGGAGGCCAGGCTAAACAGCCAGAGCCTCTACTGCATCAATGCGGATGGCTCCCAGCTCCCCCTCTTTCGCATGAACATCAGTCAGTGTGGTGAGTGGCCTGCCCACCCTCTGGCTCAGGGAGGTAACCCTCACAGAGACGGAACTGCATCCCCCTCAACTGCCCAGCCTTGACCTCTGCGGTTGTGGGGTGCAGATCTGACACACCTTATGCTCCTTGAGCACTGCTGTCTCCGAGCCTGCCTCAGCAAGGCCAGTTTCAGGAGCACAGGGAGGAGTCCCATACCTCCTTCTTAGTGGGTCAGCTTCTCTTGCTGCTGTGAATCACCTGTTGCCCACACCTGGGGGAGTGTCTCAGGAAGTGGATTCTGTTCTACTGAATCACAGACTTCTAAGGCATTTTTAGAAAAGTAAAATTTTGGCTTCAGCCACAGACCTTTGCAATCAAAGATGTAGAATGGATTCTGGAAATCCAAATTCTTACCAAGAGACTTGTGGAAACCTCAAGCATGCTGACTTGCGAGAACCAAAATGGGATGGAGCCTCTAGGCTTTGATGCTAGGTGTGCATTCCTGGATAAGTGCCCTACTCACCTTTTGCCCTGAAGGAGCATCCAAGTGTGGGATCCCATTCTGAGGTCTCACATCTACTTGGAAGGATGTGTCTGGCACTTGCAGGACTTTGAAGAGCTCAAGCAACTTGTGTTGACATTGCTAGTGTGCAAGGCAAGAATTGCTATCATTAAGCTAGGTGTGGTGGGCCACATCCATAACACCAGCTACTTGGAAGGCTGAAGCAGGAGGATTGCAATTTTGAGCCCATCCTGGACAATTTAGTGGCACCCTAGGTTTTAAAATAAAAAGTGAAAAGGCTGGGATGTGCCTTAGTGTGAAGTTCAGTCCCCAGTATTACAATGAATGAATGAAAGAATAAATAAATAAATAAACAAAACAAATGGAGAGCCACCATCAGCCCACAACACAGCTTTTTTTGGGGAGCTACTGTCTGTCTTTTCATTCCTCTTGTCTCCCCCGCTTCTCCCAGACCTTCCGGAGATCAGTGTGAGCCATGTCAACCTGACCGTACGAGAAGGCGACAATGCGGTCATCACTTGCAATGGGTCTGGGTCACCCCTGCCTGATGTGGATTGGATAGTCACTGGGCTGCAGTCCATCAACACCCACCAGGTAGGCATCTTGGGATCAGGTCCCCTTCAGGAGGCTGAGGAGTGATCACCTCTGAGTCATAAAAGCAGGAGGGAACATTTGTGATCTTTTTCTAATGGGAAGAAGCACATAGAGTTGGATTCTACACAGCTCCAATATTTTCAAGTCATTGTAACTTTGTGTATGCTACTCAGCCTCACTACCCTTGTTTCCCCATCTGTAAAATGGGTATAATGTTGCTATTCCCCTCATAGTGTTGCTGTGAGGATTACCCAAACTGTTAACTCTCAAGAGCTCAACATTTGGTCTCTGTGCTTTATTTAGAGAGGTTTCCTCCTTTTTCTCTGTTTTCCTCTTGATTCCTAAAGGTGCTTGGTGGTCAGGTAGGGGAGCTACTCTTGCAGAAATGGCTTCATTATTGTTTTTCTTGGGGGGTTTTCAGACAAATCTGAACTGGACCAATGTTCATGCCATCAACTTGACTCTGGTGAATGTGACAAGTGAGGACAATGGCTTTACCCTGACATGCATCGCAGAGAATGTGGTGGGCATGAGCAATGCCAGTGTTGCTCTCACTGTCTACTGTAAGTGTGTGCCATCATGAGGGCTTCTGGGTAGCAGGCTGCTACATGGGCTGGGAGGGCTGGAGCTGGAGCACTGACCCTGTTCTACCAGCATGGGCACAGATGACCCCATAGGGCCAGACTGAGAAATCAGTTTTTGGAAAGCAGCCCCAAGAAAGGGTGTCCTTTCCCATACAGGGTGCTATATTGGTCTTGCAACTGCATCTTCTAAGATGATCTCTCCAGAGGGAGCCATAGAGTAAAGCTGGATGCAGGAAGTTTGGCTGAAGACGGGCACCTCTGGTGTTCTATTGGGATGTTGGGGGGACCTCTGCTTCCCTGGGGCTTTTCAGAGCGTGACAGGGAAGACTTAGACTTCCTACCACAGTGTCCCAGACTCCAGCTGGCCTGTCCCCACAGACCCTCCGCGTGTGGTTAGCCTGGAAGAGCCTGAGCTGCGTCTGGAGCACTGCATCGAGTTCGTGGTGCGGGGAAATCCGCCGCCCACGCTGCACTGGCTGCATAATGGGCAGCCGCTGCGGGAGTCCAAGATCATCCGCGTGGAGTACTACCAGGAGGGTGAGCTAGCTGAGGGCTGCCTGCTCTTCAACAAGCCCACACACTACAACAACGGCAACTACACGCTCATTGCCAAGAACCCTCTGGGCACAGCCAACCAGACCATCAGGGGCCACTTCCTGAAGGAACCTTTCCCAGGTGAGGGCATTTTTGGACTTGGGATGAGGTCTGGTGGCTGGAGAGGAGAAGTGGGGTTCACATTCAGCGTGATTGCAGTAGCTACACCTGTGTGGACATGTACAACTACTATCTGCATTTTATGTAAACTAGAATAAAGTCTCCATTTCCAATAGATGTCACTGAAAATTCCATGACTCCTGGAAATACAGTCATGCATATGAGTGCAGACCATATTCCAGCAGAGAGGGGGCAGAGACTTCAGAGATCAATGACATAGTGGAGTCTTGGCCCAGCCTTTTACTTGGTGGGAGATCACCAGCTTGATAGTTGTTTTTTCTTCACTTTTATGTCCTCATCTGTGAAATGGGATTCATTACATTGCTTCCCTAAAAGTATTGTGACTTTTAAATGAGTTAAGGCATATAAAGTCTGGAGCACAAGGTTGATACATGGTGATGGTTCCATGATTTTCCATGGTAAGGGACTTCAGAGTCCATCCAGTCCAACCCAACATGTAACAAATAAGTGACCTGGACTTCATTCTTCTGGCTGGTCATTGGGAAGCCTTGGCCTTCAAAGTGGTGGCTCTTGCTTCTCTTGTTCTGTGGTGGGCTAATGGTGTGGTCCCCGATACTGTCAGCCTCTGGTGACAGGGCAAATCACTGAAGTAATAGAAGAACTTAGAAAGTTGGGGAGGTGACTCCATCTTCCTCTGAGTTTGTGCTAGGACATTTCAAGTACCTTCCTGAAGCTGGAGGAGAAGTAAATAACACCCGAGCTTAGTGAAAGTGGTCACCTGTAGTCTCTTAAGGAGTTCTACAGCTTGTAAGGTTCTTTCTATGAAGCCATGTGTCTTTGTTGACCTTTGCAACTTGCACTAGGAAGAGACTGGGTGACTTTTTGGCCTCCAATTCCCAGAAATCAGGGCTTCTAATGGGATGAAGGGAAGTATGAAGGGTTATATCACACACATGCATGTGCACACACACTGTGCGGAGGTATCCAAGTGAGCACTGTGCAGCATCTGTCTATGTGGAGGTGGCTACACAGCCTGCATATAATCTGGCTGCTTGCAGAGGCATATTTTTGCCACTGAGGTCCAGGGAATGATGGAGCTGTATCTCAGGACTGTTGAGAACATACTCATGTTTGAGACCCTATGCTTTGTCATTTCTAACACTGTTCTCAGTGTGCCCAGTAAGAGGCCTCAAAACACTTGCACACTTGGATCTCTGTTGGCCAGGGGAAGAGTCCTAAGGCTTCCCGATGTGTAGAAAATTTGCTGTAACGGGCCACAAAGTTGGGTAAGGACTTGTTGGCAGAAAAGCCTGATGTGGCCACTTGCTCTCCTTGCCTACCTATTGATTAGAGAATGAATTCATTTTTTAAAAAATGTTTATGTTTTTTGCAGTGCTAGGGATTCAACCTAGGCCCTCACATATGTACCCCTGAATTTTGTTTGTAAAGAGGAGAGTCTAATCTCACCAGTGAGTGAAGAGTGAAGTCTTTTGCAACAGTACTTCTGTTTCCAAAAGAAAGCCCCTGGGGCTGGGAGAGAGCAGGGAGCCCTGGGATGCTCAAGAGAAATGGTGCTCTACTCTGGGCTCCTTCCGCAGAGGATATTCTGAGAACTCGGGCCAGTAAGAGCAGTTGGATGGGACGATGGACTCCACTTTTCTTTTCTCTCCCTCCTTTCTGGGAGAAAGCAGTTATAGCCTCCAGTCGTGCGGATGCATCCTAATGAAGTGCATCAGTCCTTTGCATAGTTCTGGATGCCTCATTGCCATGGTGACTCTCAGGCTGCTGAGGCCAGCGGTCCTCAGGAAGTGATCCTCATGCCACCAGTATGGCAATGGTTAAAACTCTCATTCTGAAGCTCTTGTGATTCTCAGGAGTCAGAGTCTAGGATGAGTTTTGCAGCTGTGCTTTATTAGACCCCCAGGTGACTCTGGTAGTCCCTTTTTGCAACCTTGTACCATGGCATTTGGCAGGAGTCTGGCCCCAGGAGGAGAGAGGGAGGCTAGAGTCACAGAGAAGCGTGAAAAGAAAGCAGTTTTCCTTTTCTCAGGCCTGTGCACACGCTGTGAGGGCCACCCTCGATGAAACTGTGCTGGTTTTATGCACTTTGGTGTTAAAGGAATCGATGGATGATGGAAAGGCAGTGACAGAAAGAGATGGGCTTATCATGTCAAGTGCCAAGGTGTTTAAGTGTTCAGAGGAGTAGATTATTTGGGGGAGCAGGCAGGGATGCAGGATAACCTTTCGTGCTAGAGCTCACATTGGCTGCAAAGCCAGGCTTAGGATAAGGACCCTGAAATCAGGCAGAGGTGCAAATCCCACATGTGGTCCTCCTGACAGACAGGTGACCTGGTCTCCTAGCATGAAGCTTAGTACACAGTCAGAGTTCAGGGAAGGGCTGTCATGTCACTATATCTTCATTTCCTCATCTGAGAAATGAAAATGATCCTAGCAGCTCCTGCCTAAATTGCAATGGGGATTAAATGAAATAATATATGCCAAGTGCTTAGCTGACAGAGGAAAGGCTTAATGGTTGTTTGTTGTGAGGACTTTGAGGATGCAGAGATGTACGAATTGGCAGTTCTAGAACTGGTAGCCATTTTCAGGTCAAGTTAGTGAGTTCTGACCAACAGTCTCATGGCAGGCTAGGGTAGGAGCTATGGAGCCTCTCTGCCAGAGTTCAAATTCTTATTGCATCCATTGTCAGTTGTGTGGCCTCATGCAGATTATTTAATCTCTCTGCTTCTACCTGGAAGACTGGGGTGAGGATGAACGATGAAGGGCTGTTCCTGCAGAGCTGTGGTCTGGGCCTGTAGAACACACATGCCTTCCGTTCAGGACACATCCCAATCTATACTTAGGAGGTGCTTGGTACGCTGCTTCTCCCTGCCTGCCACAGGTCCACGGGGAGGAGCTCATCTACTAGTGATACTGTCCTCTTCTGGTATGGACACCCAGGGACCTTCCCCAAGGTAGAGAGCAGCCAAAATGACCCTGCTTCCAAAGTTCACGTGCTTCCTGGATGTAAGCGTTTCCAATCTCTGGCAAAGGGTTTCAGCATCTACAGACTGATTTGGAGATTACAGGGCTTGCAGTCTCAGAATTGGCCAAAACATTTGGCTGATATGAGACTGTTCTTTAATAAATGGGAGCCTTATGGCAAATATGTAAATTAGTGGATTTTGCAAATGGAACTGGCTCCTGTCTGGGCTCTGACTCTGAGGCCAAGCCTGGAGCATCCCCTGCTCCTCCTTCCCCCCTATGTCAGGCATTGGGTACCTGCAACGAAAGAGGGAGTGATGCAATGAGGGTTTGGGGGAAAGCCCTTTTGCTTTTCCCACAACAACACAGAATAGGCAACATGCAAGCACCTAAATCGTAGTGCATTCACAGTGAACAGGACCTTCTCTGAAGGAATCCTTCCCAGAAAGCATCCTGGCCCCCACAGGTGGTTAGAGGTTTGCTGGTTCACACTTAATAGAGGTTCGGTCATAGTGGCTGTGAGCTCTGAACCAAGAACCTGGAAACGGAGATGGCAGAGAACTAGAGATGGATGAACACATGAGTGAGTGAATGAGGTGCTCTTATTTTTTAGGGGTGTGGTAAGCTTGTGTCAGGAGCAAGTGTGATGGCTCCAAAGAGACCAGTGGTAGCATTAGCATCATCAGAGGACCTATGAGCAATGTGAATTCTCAGGGCTTGTGTACAGCTCTGCGGTAGGGTGCTTGTGTGAGGGAGTGGATTTGATCTCTAGCACCACACTAAATAAATAAATAGAAAGAAAGAGAGACAGGAAGAAAGAGTGAAAGACAGAAAAAGGAAAGAAAGATTCCTGTGATCCACCTGGAATCAGGAACTCTAATGTGAAGCCAACTCATTTTTTCTTCCTTCAGGTGCGTTTGAGGCAAATGCTCTACTACTGAATACATCCCCAGCCCCTCTTTTTAATTTTGAAGAATTTTTAATCTTTCATTTTGAAATAGCTTGGGTTTACATAAACAAGGTTACAAAATAGTGCACAGAACTTCCTTCTATCCTTTCTTGGTTTCCCCAGATGTCAACATCCCACTGAGCCACAGCACAGTGGTGCAGAGGAGGACGTGAACGTTGGCTCACCACCACCGTCGCATGACAGTCTCGTTCACATATCCTCATCTGTCCCACTGACATCTTTTTGTTGTCTTGGATTGGAACCAGTACTGCACATTGTATTTAGCTGCCATGTCACCTTGGTCTCCTTAAATCTGGGACAGTTCCTCAGTCTTTGTCTTTCGCCATCTTGGCACTTTTGAGGAATTTTCACTGTCATAGATTTCCTCAGTGTAGATTTATCTGACTTACTTTTCATGGTTAAGTTCCAGTTATGGATTTTGGCACCATCACAGGAAGGACACTCTGCCCTTTGAGTCTGTTCTGTCGGGGAGTGCCTGATGTCTATGTGTCTTACCAGTAGTGATGGTGACTTTGTCACTTGGTCAAGACTGTGTCTGGCAGGTTTCTCCTTTACAAAGTGACTCTCCCCCCTAAGCAGTTAATAAGAATAATGATTTGAAACTATGTAAATAGCTTGTTTCTCATGATTCTTTCATACGCTAATTTTAACATTCATTGAGAATTTCTGTCTGAAACAGTTATAACGGCTGTACTTGCCAAATGGTGATTCTTCTATTACCATTGTTCCTTCTAAATTTATTAGTTTGAAATTTACCATAAGGAAGAACTTTCCTTTCTTCCCCCATTTATGTACTCATTTATATGTTTGCATCAGCAAGAATTCTTGGATTTCATTCAATAATTCATGTGATTCATTTGCTAGGACTGCCATATAAAGCACCATAGACCAGGTGGCTGAAATGACAGAAATCTATTTTGTAGCAATTGAGGAGATTGGAAATTTGGGACCAAGTGTTGGCAGGGCTAGTTTCAGTGGAGAAGGTGTCTTCTCCTTGTATCCTCCGTGGTCTTCCTATGTATTTGTCTGTACCCCAGTTTTCTTTTCAAGATACTACTCACAAGACACTAAGTACCTAACAGAAGACCCAGTCTCCAAATACAGTACATTCATAGGTACTGGAGGTTACAACTTCATTTTATGGATTTTGGAGGACATGATTCATCCTATAAGAATCCATTACTCTTATTTTTTTGATGCTCAAATTATGCTACATTTGATCAGAAGCTTTATAACAGCTCCTATTTCCTTTCTTTAGATCCCTAGTAACCTTTAATCATTTTCTTACTTTCTAGTACCATAAGATATTCTGAGAACATCTTGTATTTTCCCCAAGCCAGCACTGCAATTGTCCATTTCTTCAAGAAATCCTTTTCCTATTGTTGGAGAATGGTAGTGATTACCTTCAAGACAAGGCCATTGAATGCTCATATTGAGCAGCTTTTATAGAGTAGTTAAGAGCCTGGTTTTGGCTTTGAGTCTAGCTCTAATATCTCCTTAGATCAATGACATTCAGTTAGTTACTGAATTCTGTAAGCTGTTTCCTCATTGATGTTAAATGGGGATGATGCTACCAAGCTCTTAGAATGACTGTAAGGATCCAGTGATGTTACAAAGTGCCAAGTTCAGGTCATAAATCATTTTCAGCTAAGGGTTAGCTTTTATAAGTTGGTGATCCATTTCTCTGGCCACATTTCCATCTGGAGAATGGGAAGACTCTAGAGAATTTCCAAGAACTTCTCAGTGACTTTCTGGAGTCAACTGTATGCACCGATTTGTGGACTCTCATAGTTGAGATCATAACTTGTCCCAACCCACACTACCATCCCCAGCACTCTAGGTCCTGAAGGAGGGAGAGTTGTGGGTCAGACTGTGGATCAGGATTTAATTCCCCATCTCACCATGAAACTAGTTGGTTTCCAGTTCTTGGGTGGCCACTTCCTTTGAAACCACAGGCCTTGTCTCTCCTTCCTTCTCCCTTTGGAGGACCACTCTCGAAAGAGGCAGTGCGGCAGGATGATGTGCTAAGGACTTGAGTGTGTCTCTAGCTGTGGGGACAGGGGGTCCTGCTGAATGGGAGTGGCCGTGACTGTCAGCGTAATGTATTGTGTCTGTTTTGCTTTTTATTACATGCTAATTACATTTTTGTCCTTTTTGTTTTGTTTTTGCAGAGAGCACAGATATCTTTGTCTTTGGTAAGTCCGCTTTACCTTTTGGTTTGAAACTGTTTTATTCTGATACTTTTGGTCACTATTGACTTTGATCATCCCTCCATCCTATGCCATCTTATCCCAGCCCCGTGGCAGCTGGGGTCAGCTGAGTGAACTGTGACAAGGAGCTGGAGAATATAAATGTAGTTCTAGTTGGGCTTTTATGGGGTAATCATGGTGTACCTCAGTTTCCCCTAGGGGGATTCCTCAGGTGTGACTGTGTTTTGGGTCTCCCTACCTGAGTGAGAAGGGGCAGTGTCAGGATAGGAAAAGGGGTTCATGTGCTCTCATTGACTCCTTTGAATCATCTCAGTTGTTCTTGCAGAGAAAATCTGGGGCCTAAATACTAGCTGGTCTTTCTTACTTGCTTCAGAAATTCAAGAGTTTGGCCGGAACCAGTGGTGTGTAGAGTTGTCATTTGCAAGATCTCCTGATGGGCGTATGTGTCTTCAAATGGAATCTTGAGGCTAAAATTATAAGTGACTTGGGGCTTAAGGCTAGACAGTCCTAAAAGGATTTTGGGTTTTGCTAGTGGGTTGTGGGAAACCTGAATTTATTCCTTTCTCATTCCCATGGGAAGTGGTAATAACAGCAGCAGTTGATGCCATTCTGCTTAATGTCTGGCTCAGAAGAGCAACCCAGTCCTGTTTAGGGACACTCCCAGATGTTTGGCACTGATGTAAATATTTTTTGTGGTTCCTTTAGTTGTCCTTGGCCTTAGGGGACTTGTAATCTCACAGATGTACCTTCAGAGAATTCTGAAGGGCCATTTCTTGCCAAGGAGGTGATTCTGGATGCAGTACAAACTGAGACTTGGCTTCTAATCTAGGACTTACTGGGCATGGGTAGTGTTCCTGGTAAGGTGGTTCAGTCATTTCATTTGAGCTATTTCTGTGTTCTGAAATCAGTACTAGAGGAACGGATGCTGGGTTGTTCATGAATCCACACAACTGTGTTTCACTGCAGGGTAAAGAGGGAATAAGGAATAGTGTGGGAGTGGCAAAGAGAGGAAAAGGAATCCCCCAGCCAGCAGTAACAGAATGTCAGCAACAGCTGCCGTCACTGGTAAAATGTGCATGACCTGGACCCTGGCTAGCATTCCAAGCCATTTTTCTCTTTCCTGTCTCATAGCTCATGTGCACGTTGCCAAGGTTATGGAACAGGAGTAGGAAGAGGACAGTGAGGGCCTTTAATGCCTTATGGTGCCTGTCCTTGAGCTGCACCACCAGCCAAGTGGTCAGATGGGGACCTGGCCTCTGGAGCTCCTGCAGTCCTGGGAGGGCAGGCTGTGGGAGCCCGCCTCCCAGAGCACCTTCTCCTACAGGAAGTGTCTGGGGCCTAGAGATGGGGCAGGGACTGTGACTGAGCATCCCATGGCTAGAAAGCTAATTTCCCTCTCCCTTCTTGTTTGCTTTTTAGAATCCGATGTGAGCCCTACACCTCCTATCACTGTGACTCACAAACCAGAGGAAGATACTTTTGGGGTAAGTCACTTTTGGTCAAAGAGCATGTTTACTGGTATAGTTATTTTCAGGCTTCATTTGAGTTGCTGATTTTTCCAAATATTGTCTTATTTGGAACCTCAGTACCTTAGGAAGAAAAAATAAATAAAGAAATGATGAATGATCTGCTTTCAGGCAGTTTAAACCTTCCTTGTTTGATGGGAATAGCTCATTGTTTGAGGAAGTCTTTGAGGATCATTTCCAAGCCCTGGGGTTTGGAAGAGAAGAGTCTGAAATCCTCAGTCTGTTAGGCTGGGCCTGATTTGCAGGATCTGCTCACATATAAGCTACCTGTGAAAGTTCAAGTTGCTCAGGGCATCTCCTACGATGGCTTTTTCAAACCCTCCTCTGACATAGCCTGAGATATCCCCGGGGAAGAGAAGAAAGGAGTCTTCAGAGTTCAGATCTTTCAGACTTTCCAGGATAGGAGTATTATGTAAAAACTTAAAGACAAAGATCCAACTTTTCTTGTTAACTAAAACAATAGAAGGTTTGCTTTTGCATCTGTTCACATTTCAATGGCCTCCAGGCAAGAGAGACTCAGAACATTAAATGATGGAACTTCTTCTAATGAAGCTAGGCAATTTATGTTTGTAAGTGTAAAGCAATTTAAAATTTTTCTTAGAGCTTCATAAATTGTTTCTTCTAAGGACCTTACTAACTCCCTAGCAGAATTCTGAGAGACTGTACTTGCTACTGGGGCAGGACTATTTTTCTGTGGGCCCACAAGTTATTGCAAGGTACTGGGGTTTCCACGCCTGTTCCTGACTGTCTGTATTTGGCTCCTGACAGGTATCCATAGCAGTCGGACTTGCTGCTTTTGCCTGTGTTCTTTTGGTGGTTCTCTTTATTATGATCAACAAGTATGGTCGACGGTCCAAATTTGGAATGAAGGGTAAGGTGGGATGTTTAGTCCCAAGGGTGCCAATGATTTTATTTCCACCTCCTGTGCTCCTTGGGAGAGCCTTTGGTTGTGGGGCCTGGTGGTCCTCTTGGAGACTCCTTGGTCATTATGGGTGGAAGGCCGTGCTGGGATCAGTGGGAACCAAACTGTAGACCTCATGGTTTTACTGTGGTTCCTGATAACCACTGCTCACATGGGTTGTGAGAATTGGATGATATGGAAAGAAAATTGGATTTGAGGCCAATTGAGGAAGATTTTGGTTTCTTTACTGGTTGGCAAAATGACTCTTGGTTTGGGTGACTTTGTTTTTCTCTCATTAGTGCATATCGTTGGAGTCAGGGAGGGAGTTGCATAGCTATATATGGGGTTGTAAATTCTGGTATTGAAAAACTGCCCTTGCCATGTTATCTCAGCACGTAGCTCTACACAAAGTCCCAGAATGGATGCCAAGAGCAACATGATTTCTAAATCTGCTGGCTAGCTTCCACAACACAAAATATTCAGTCGCATTTTGGCAGGAGGTGTGGCGGTGAGGTGTGGCACTAGGCCAAGCTGGGTTAAGAGGCTGGCATGAAAGGAGTTAACATGGTGAATTAGCATCCATCTGCCTAGTCCCAGAGATAGATGTGACCAAGAGGCTCAAAGGAGTCTAGATAGCAGGTCCAGAAGAGAAACTCGAATCTCAAGATAGGCCCCCTGCTGGGGTTTCCTTGTATGGCTCGAGTTGGGTAGGGTTGGAGATGAAGGGACAGTAAAAGATTGTTTAGACAAGGTTGAGGCTGGTGTTTGCTAGTGAGACTATGAGATGCAGAAAAATCAGCTTCTATGGCTTTTCCTCTTGAGCTGGTGTCCACACAGGAGGTGGTAGCAGTCCTGACCTTGAGTTCTTGGACTGATGGACAAGGCACAAATAGCATTCACAGGGATAGTATCCCCTGAGCTACTATGCAAATGCTTGAGTGTTTGTACATAGCAGGGGCTGAATATTTCTATATAACATAGAACCAGCACATGGCTTTATTATATTCTCAGAAGATTCTGTGCCTTCCTACAAAGCCGAGAACACTAGTATCTAAGAAGACCCCTGGAGATGAAAATAAAGACAGAAACTACGGGGTCAGACTGCACATTTTCCCAGGAGTCTTCTACCTCTACACTTTCTGCTTTTGTGAACCTGGATAAGTCATAGTGAGGCCAGCCAGGCTTTCTTGGATCACTGGGAATATTCTCATCAAGGAAAATACTTGTGCAGGCAAATTATAGAGAAAGAACTTAAGTTTGATGACTTAAGGAGGATAGACCACCCTTGGGCATCTCGATTCGAGATGTTTTATCTTCCATGTGTCAAAAAGTGTAGGTTTAGATGAACTGACCACTTAACGAGCCCCAAACCTTCAACCCCAGGATGCTCCTGGGGCACATCACTTTGAGGGCAGGCACCTACTTTTGCAATGTTTTCTTATCATGCAAGGGACTTTCCTAGCTCTTCCTCCCCATACAAGAAAAAAGTTAGGAAGTTGACCAGAGGGAAGAATGTGGCATTACTGTTCTTCCTGAGGAGGTGCTCCACCAGCTGAGACCCTGTAACATGCTTGGCAGTGCTGTGAGAGCAGATTTTTCCTATTAAGTGTCATCCTGTTCTGGAACAGTGTGTCCCCATGTTGGATGGATTAGGCAGCATCCTGGGCCGTGCCTCTCTTCAGCTGTCCTCTGAGCCTGCCTTAGCCTCTGCTCCCCTTTCCCAGGCTGAACTGCTTTTCTTGGCTCTGGTTGGGCCAGGAGAATATATTCATGTAGGTGAAAGTGAAGTGTCCCCTGTTCCAAAGTAAGGTAACGTACAGAAATTAGCCTGGAGTTGGAGGCAAGAGGAGATGGTACAATTGTAAGACTATTTTATGCCTGCAGCTCACTGATCTGTATTAAGCCAGATTGTATTTAAATCTCATTAGGATAAATAAGCAAATGCCTCAGGCTGAATACAGCTTGGTATTTCATTGCAGTCTAGGAATAAGATTGATGACATGGGTACCAGAAGTCTCCCTACTCTGCTTTAGGCAACCCCTATCTCTTTGCAACCACCCCATTCCCAGGTTTGATTTTTCAAATTTGGGTAAGAATCTGTAATGGCTCTTCGGTTTCTGTTGGGTTACCTTCCTTCTTGGAGTCAGTTTCTTCAACTTTTCAGTGGGGATCAATAGTCTGACTTCTCTTCAGACTGTATAAATCCTTTGCCTTTTAAAGTGGGACTCATACTGCTTATCTAACCTGGTGGTTGTGAGCATTGTCTTGTAGGTTAATTGCCTGTGTGTGTTAGCTGTTTGTTGCTGTGAGAAAATACCTGAGAAAGTCAACCTGTAAGAAGTTTATTTTGCCTCATGGCTTCTGAGGTTTCAGTCCATGGTTTGGGCTTGTGGCGGTGCAGTAAATGATGGAAGCATGTGGCCGAGGATGTCTCTTAGGAAGCTAAGAGAGAAACAGTGGTCAGGATCCCTGTATCTCCTTCAGGTGCATGCACCCAGTAACCTCATGGTCTTCTACTGAGCTCCACCTCTTAAAGAGTCCACTGCCTCCCAAAGCGGGCAGCCAAGTCTTCAGCACATGAACCTTTGGAGAACACTTCAAATCAAAGCCATAGCATTGAGGTCTCCTTGGGTACCTTTGCCTTATTCTTTTCTTTACCTATAAACCTTTATAGGTTCCTTTTATTGTCCTTCCATGAAGAATTTCCTTCCTAAGACTTCACCAAGTCTTCTTCCAAGACAGTACACAGTAAAAATGCCTTCATTACATAGAAATCCCTGTGAATTGTCTGTTTGTTGCTCAATATCATCTCTCTGTCCTCCTAGACCAGGAGCATTGTATGGCAGAAGTGAGGGATCCCTCCACCCAGGATGCCTGAAACTGTGTACTCTGTTTGACAAATGCTTGTTGAACTTAGAAATGAAGAAGCTTTAGCTTTAACCATGAAAAGCACAGATTATACACTGGGCTTGTTAGGGCTTATTTAGAAATCCAGGATGAGCTGAGTAGGCGAAATTGAGGAGGGAGGATGAGTGGAAGAGCATGAACAATTGCTACCTCCATTTCTGAGGGCCAGAGACACTGTAGCTATGGAGAACCTGCTACCATTAACTTCAGTTCCTTTCGAGGAATAAAAATTATAGAAACATACAGAGAAACATGCACACTCAGATTGTTACCATTTAGAATAAGTGGTGTTATATATATTTTTTAAATTGACAATAAAATTAAAGCCAACAAAATTAAAACCAATTTAGATGTCACCTGTGGTCCTGTTCTCATTTTGGTCTCCACAAGAAGCCTTTAGACTGAATCCAGCATGCATCCACCTCTTCATTTGTTTTAGTATGTATGTATGTATGTATGTATGTATGTATGTATGTATATATGTATGTATGTATCCATCTATCTGTGTCCCGAGGTTTGAATCTATGTTCATATACTTGCAAAGGTAAGCTATCTACCACTGAGCCACAGCTCTAGCCCTTTTTAAGTTGTGACAGGGTCTTGTAGAATTTCCCAGAGTGGCCTTAAACTTATGACCCTCCTATCTTAGCTGCCTGAGTAGCTGGAATTACAATAGCGCACCACTACGCTTGGTTTGTTTGTTTTCTCCTTGTACATCTGCCTCTCATCTGTCTCTGTCTGCAGCACTGCCCTTCCCTCCTGGATCTCTTCCCAATAGACTTAAACCCTGCAGACTGCCAAATTAGCAACCATCTCCCCTATAGGCCAATGTAGTACCAGTGCCAGCGCCAGTGCTATATGTGTACATACATATAGACTATATGTCTACATTTATAATGTGCATTGCTTTGTGTATATTTTAACTTATATGCACATCTGCATTTTGCTTGATTTGCTTGTCACATGTTAGAGATCTCCTCACATTAGTATAAGAATTTCACTAGACACCTATTTTATGGGAGATTAATATGTTTACCAGTTCTTATAGAAGTGAACTAAAAGTGCATTATCTCAAACCCTTATTGTACTTTTCAGCTGCCATCTTATTGGTAAAAATTTTGGTGCTGGGAAGTCATGTTAAGAATGTGAGCTCATCTTCTCTTGGAATCACAGAGGTTTTCAAGTGGTGCTGGGCATACAGTAGAGTTTCTGTTTGCTGCTGCTGCAGCTCAGTACATAAGAATGGTCCTTAGCATGATCTGTGAAGTATCTGTTGTGGCCCAGGCAAGAACAATCCACCAGGTCTCCTACTGGAATCGGGCCCTGCAGGAGCCCAATACCACTATTCCAGGCCTTTACTCTGATTGCCAAAATCCAGGGATGGCCAGGGAGTTAGGAGCTGAGTACTGGTGAGACTCAGAGCAAAGGTTCTTTATAGGAGACACATAAATGTATAAAAATAATGTCCATGGTCTAAAAACAATTTTATTGGGCCTGTGAGTCCTAGGTGTGGAAGTGAGATGGTTCAGAATTGCTGCTAACTTAATCATCATTAAATATTTTTAGATTAGGCATCAAAAGATCATGACAATGATTTAGCTGGGCTGTCCTGCATCAAAAGAAACAGGCTGGGACATGAAAGGAACTTGCTCCTCTTGCCTGGTTAATCCACACTGGGTTGAAAACTTCCTACTTTATGGCCTCACCCATTTACCACAGCAACACGAGTATCTAACTCCCCTGTCACGCCCCCCCCCATACCAGGAAACATTGACAGTGTACCTATTTCATGTGGTTGTCAGAATAGCCTGGTAATCAATGCTAGCGTGTATGGACCATAGGAAAGTTGCCCTAGCTTACAAGGCTGATGATGCTGAGGTATCACAGATAAAGAAACCAAGACCCATATCATATGCAGTGATAGGCCAAAGCAGAACTCACTAGCGCACGCTGGCTCTGCTTCTCCATCTACTCGGTGAGCACAGAGAGCTTGGCAAAGTTTGGGAAAGCCAGCTGGTCTGTGAACAAATCAGCTGAGTTCTTTCAAGGGCTAGGGCAATTAT